GAACTTCTAGTACCACTTTAAAAGTCGCAGTGGCACAGTGGTTAGAGTCCAGTACTTCAGGCTACTTCTGCTGATTAACATCTGCCTGTGATTTGGCAGTTTAAATCTCACCAGGCTCAAGGTTGACGCAGCCTTCCATCCTTCCAAGGTGGGTAAAATGAAGACCCAGATTGTTGGGGGCAATAGGATGACTCTGTAAACCGCTTAGGGAGGGCTGTAAAGCACTGTAAAGCGTTATATAAGTTTAAGTGCTATTGCTAGACTGGATTTGGGATTTTTGTCCAGCTATTGATCCTTCTCAAGGACCTGAAATAGGCAGATGTTGTTGTTTGATGGTGTTAAAAGTATTGTTGCAGGACATAAGCTGTTCCAAGTAAATGTCCCTTTTGCAGTTGACTGATGGTGATTTTGTTAATGCCAATAGCATTCAAATGGTGCTCCAGATGTTTTGGAATTATACCCAAGGCACTCATTTCTATTGATACTATCTTTGCTTTCTTTTGCCTCAATCCTTCTACTTCTATTTGCAGATCCTTGTATTTTGTGATTTTCTCCAATTCTTTCTCTTCTATTTTGCTGTCTCCAAATACTGCAATATCCATTAGCCAGACTTTTTTCCCCTCTTTCATATTGACAATTGTTACATTTGGGGGTGTTGTATAGCAGGTTCCTTTATGTTTGAATTCTGAAGTGTTGTTGCCTTTTCACTTTCTACTAGTTTGTCTGTTATGTGGTCTTACCAGTTTTTGCTTGCAGGCTAAAGGATCCCCCCCCACCCCAGATATTCCAGTGCACCATTGTTACTACTTTGTCATGCTGTTGTTTGTAGTTAGTCTCTGTGATCTATCTGCAGCGGTTAATTAGATGTTTCTTCAGTTTCTTTGCAGAAGCAGCATTTTCTGTTTGCTGTTGTCTTCTTAATTCTACATTAATGTATGCATTTGTTATTAAGACTATGTCTCTAGAAATATTTGGGAATATTGTTTTTTGTTTGCATGAATATAGCTTTGAGTGATAATAGGTTTTTTTGTTCTGTAGAATGAACTGCAATGGTTTAATCTGCAGATTGTCATGTGATAATAAATCTTTCTAGATGAGTAAGTAAATAATGAAGTAATAAATCTTTACTGTATGAAAATGTAGTCATTGGTAGAAGACAGGCGATTGGCTTTCTGATAAATGGCCTGCTTCCAAATTTGAAGGCCCACTTCATAGGACTAAACAAAAGTAATTTAGTAAAAATGTTACTATGCTTTGTATTAGATATGGTCCATAATATGGCAAGAAGTAACCAGTATCTAAGAGATCAGAAAAATGAAGGATCTTTTAATAAAAGTGCCTTTCCATGCGTATGAAGCTTAAAATGAGTGTGCATCGTTAAATATTCATTCATTCATTCATTCATTCATTTTACTTGTATCCTCTGTAATTAAAGGAGACTCTTGGCANTGTTCAAACTTGACAGCTTTAAGACTTGTGGACTTCAACTCCCAGAATTCCTCCTCTCGCTCTTCAACTTGATGATGTGCGGACGGGTGGGGGGGGGAGCTGGAACCGGTTCTAAACGGCACTGTAGATTTGTGGAATCTCTTCTATAGAAGAGGTTAGAACTGGCTGGAACCCCCTGATCCATCCATGTATTTTAGACATGGTGTGAAATATCCCTTATTAATTCTAATTGTACTGATTCTGGCAACTCTGACTTGCAACAGACGTCTATTGACCCAGTGGAGCGTCTTTCATCTCCCTCCTGCTGCATCCCCTTAATTCCTTCCAGGAATGGTACTAGATAAAATACTTGTA